TTCCTGCTGATTTAACTCTTTCCAGGATTCTTCTGGTCCCCCCGCTGACCTTCTTCTTCTCTTTCTGGACAGGGCTCCATCTGTGACGACTGCTGCACCCTCTACTGGTGCTTCAGCTGCTCCTGGTGCCAAATGGCTCGTGAGATCAAGAGACGCAAGAATCCGGTCAGCATTATGACGGCACAGACAACCTCAGTCAATGTGGCGATGAACCCTCAGCCCTACCCACAACCCCCCTACCAGCCCTACCCGCAACCGATGTACTAGAACACTGCACCCGGCCCACCACACATCACCATAAGAGGTCACCATAAGAGCTCACCATGACTGGCTGTGGAACATGAGCGCACGTTCCACCACATACGGCATGGTGAGATTTGGTGGGCTGTGGTGTAGATGATCCAAATGTTGAAGTTTATTTGTAGCCAAATCTTTTGTCTTAGTTTTTCTATTTCTGGTGTTTCTGTGCAGGTTTTGTATGTACCCGTCATGGTGGAGCCAGCAGTAGATGGTCACATTCAAATGGACCTTTTTTTTTTTTTTTGTAATGTTGAAGACTTTTCACTGCTTCTCCAAGTGGCTTCCAGCGGAAGACAAGTCCACTTCAATGTGACTAACTCCTAGTGGCCTCATCCCCTGTCACGGGAGCCACGTACCTGAGGTGAGACTGAAGTCGGGGGGGGGGGGCCTCCCTTGCACCTCGGGTCCTTGAAGTCTCTGGAGACGGAGACTTGGTGGGACACCGAGTGGCACGGGCGCCGGCGGGTGCGGAGCACCGTGCACAGCCTGAGTCCGAGATCCGGGCCGGGGTCAAGTCCACTCTGGCAACCAGGTACACAAGGGTCAATCAGAAGAATGGTTGAGATCCGAGCCGGGGTCAAGTCCACTCTGGCAACGAGGTACACAAGGGGTCAATCAGAAGAATGGGCGAGATCCGAGCCGGGGTCGGTTCCAATCTGGCAACGAGGTACACAAGGGGTCAATCAGAAGAATGGGCGAGATCCGAGCCGGGGTCAAGTCCACTCTGGCAACGAGGTACACAAGGGGTCAATCAGAAGAATGGGCGAGATCCGAGCCGGGGTCGGTTCCAATCTGGCAACGAGGTACACAAGGGGTCAATCAGAAGAATGGTCGAGATCCGAGCCGGGGTCAAGTCCACTCTGGCAACGAGGTACACAAGGGGTCAATCAGAAGAATGGGCGAGATCCGAGCCGGGGTCGGTTCCAATCTGGCAGCTGAGTACAAAAGGGGCAAAGAAGAAGAATGGTCAAATCCGAGGTCAATGGCAGGCAGCAAGCAAGAGAAGTCAAATAGGTTTCCAGGTCACAACAAGTTCAGACAGATCACACACGAGCACAGAAACAAGAGGGGGGGGGCTGACCATAATCCAGCAATTTGGGAGTGTCCAGACTGGGCGGCTTATATGGGGAAGTGATGATTGAAGTTTAGGTCACTTCCTGTGCGCCTCCTGGGTTTTTTTCCCGCCCTGCTGTATCAGGTCTCCTGCGCATGCGCGGGTTGGCGCAATGGCGCTGATTTCTCCCGTTGGCGCATGCGCAGTTAGCACTGGGCTCTTGCACCCCCCTTTCAAGTGTATCTTGTCTGTTTCTCATTGGGGAACTTTGCTGCACTGGGGGTGCAACAATACATACGAGACAATCTCAATGCAGTGAAGGTGAATCACCTCCTAGACAACTAGGGTTGCCACCTGTCCAGGATTCACCCGGACAGTTCGGGTTTCATGGCAGCAGAAACCTGGACACAAGATGTCAGGCAGACGAGGGACAACCGAAATTAAGACAGTGGCCACAGACCCCCCACTGAAAATAGTTTAAACTTTGCTATTTACATATGACTAAGCCACAACTCATTCTCCCCCCCCCCCCCAAAAAATGTCCGCGTGTTGCTAGAGTGTTCGGGTTCCGCTTGAAGAAAAGGTGGCAACCCTACAGACAACCGTCACTGGAACGGGTGTCCCCATTCCCCTTCACGGGAGCCACTGGAGTAGAAGACCTATCGTATCTCATCTGAACTCAACACTCACACTCATTCCCTTCACTGGAACCGTCACTGGAACGGGTGTCCCCATTCCCATTACCTACTGTACCCATCATACCGGTCCCCAGGACCCCATCAAGTACACACAGACAACCCTAACTGAGGTTCCAATCCTTCCATTCTTCCCCCAAAACTGTAAAAAAAAGGAAAAACACGTTGGCTGGCAATCTACTTCAACTTCCTGAAGATGACAAAAGCAGTAAAGTGAGGTAGTTACAGCTAATGTTAGGTGAATAGTAGCAATTCGAGGTCATCTCTACATTATTCTTAAGCTCGAGGTTTTCTAATGAGGTAGAACTGAGTTTGAAGGCTACGAATCACTCCTTCCAGTGTCCATGGGCCTCCAATCTAAATCCTTGGAAGTCCTGATTCAAGCTGCTCCTGGAAACTGCGGCGTAGGCCTGGCGGAAAACATCAAGAAGGCTGTAGGGAGACGGGCTTATGGTGTCATCGGGAATCACATAATAACAGAACTGTGTCTAACTCCGGGATGGAAGAAACTTATGGCTGACCCACCAGGAAGGCTTTGCTAGATACATGCTGGGCAGCCATCAGAAATTTTAGGGCCCCTTACACGGCTTTAGGCCGGACCCCCCCGCGCCGCTGGACACGGGGCTAAGTGACACGCTGGACACAGGACCCACCTGAGAGTGACCCTGCAGAGCCCACCATAAATGCTGCACAGCCCATCTGAGACTGTCTATGGTGGGCTCTGAAGGGGTCTCAGGTGGGCTGGTCAGGGCTGCATCCATCCCTCCCTCCTTTCCTTCCTTCCTTCCTAGCTCCTCTTACCTGCACACATGGCCTCGTCTGCCGCTGGACCGGCCAGAAGTGACGTCACTACCGGCCAGTCCGACATCCGACGAGCAGCGCCCCTGATGGGGCCCTAGCTTGTCTCAAAGCCACTGGACCTGCAATGCTGGGGCCCTGCGCTGCTAGGGCCAGGCCTCCGCCTCCTCACCCTTGTCATGTAAAAGCCGATAGTCATGTAAGGGACCCGGGCGGGCCCCCCAGGCTGCCCTGGCCCCTTACATGAGTATCTGCCGTACCCCCCATATACAACATCTGCACAGAGCCTCCATCCACCTCTGAAAGGTTACAATTGCTGCTAATAGACAGACAAGGTTCTCATGGGCCACACTTAAATTCTGAGCACACACCTACAATTGGGCACAACACGATGACAATAGCAGGTGTTGGGAGGTCACAAAATTGTCTGAAAATATTGGCTCATTGGCTCCATCACAAGCCTGGAGGCAGTTGTGACCCGTTACCTAGTCACCGACCTGTACCCCCATCTCCTCGTCTTTCCCTGGCATGAGTGTTGAGTTCAGATGAGATACGATAGGTCTTCTACTCCAGTACCAAACAAGAAGGTAATGCCACCTACTGGAGAGTAATAAATACACGCACCATCCTAAAGACATTCGCATGTGACGTTATACGTGTGCACCATGGCTGCCATTCTGGAACTACGTGGGCAACAGGTCGGCACTCACTAAAACAGGTATTTGTGGCAATAAAGGGGAAATATATGGAAAGCCATGGCAATATGAGGGCAACAAATGGGCACTTACAGTAATACCCAACAAACAAACATATAGTTGTTGCCTTACGTGGGCAGCAAATGGGCAATCACTTTAATACACTGGCAACAAAAGGGCAATAGTGGCAATAAAACGCAGGGGCAATAACTAAAGTCCAGTCTGCCTCATATCTTCTCGCACCTCAAGCTCTATACTGCAGTTTTCAGCTCCCTCTCTCAACTTAGCCTTGGAGGAGGAGAATGGACCACCTGCAGCTCCTCTGTCGATCTCCTAATCTGAAGAGCAGTCCCACCATGTCAAATGCAGTTCAGCTGGAATACTGTAACAGAGGTCATTGCTCCAGGCAGCCAATGGGTGGCCGAGCCCAGAGGGAGCTCTCAGGGGACCGGTGACCTAATATTAATGGTTATCTGAAGTCCCTGAGCCAGTTGCAAATGGTCCTCAGGCTTGCCGGTAACGTTCCTCATAGCAATGTCTCATTGAATCTATTTTGCCGTCCTGATGATGACGATGTAGGTTGCGGTTCAATGCTATCAGTAGCTGCGGCCTCTTTCTGTCTGTTCCCGGGCAATATTCTGCATGTTTGTATATTATCTCTCACCAGATCTGTCCCCAGACATCCACATTCTTTGTCTTATATTAAATGATTGGCATTTCCTCTGTGCGTGGTGTGCGTGGTGTTCATTGTAGACTTTCAGTATTACCTTCGTTTAGGTTTGAGCTCCCATTGTCCTGGGATATGAGCGTGTTTTTTCTATATGTGAGGTGTTCTGTCCTGGCAAGACAACATTGCCACCTGCAGGTGCCGGGGGGTGACATGACCCAGGCTTTAAAGGAGAACTTTGGGGTCATGGCTTTTCCCCATAGTTCTCCTAAGGGTCACAGGAGGACACAAACTAGCGTCCTCCCGTCACCCCAGGCTCAGTATATAGGGAGCTACAGCTCGCGGTACACTGAGACTGCCGCAAGCGGGACAGATCCCGCCATTACTGTCTGGATCCATTCAGCTGAGTGAGTGACAGCTGGCTCTGCCTATCTAGAGGCTGCTGTACCCACCCCCTCCCCCGTCCGTTCCGCCAGTCAGCGCTGGAGAATCGGAGCGGGGAGGAATCCCTGCAGGGAGCCATGACTGACAGTCACGGCTCCCTGCAGGGACATGATCGAGAAGTGAGCGAGCGAGCGACGGTATGTGTTCGCTCACTTCCCGATCTATTGAGCCGACCTGTGACAGTCTATGCTATATTCCATGAACAACAAAAACAATGAGAGAGACATCTAGGATGACACAGAAGTCCAGACTCACCAACTACCTTCCAGCGTCACAGTGTAGAGGGCCTTCAAACCCGAGAATGTGGTGACACTGTGTCAGAGAACCATAGCTGGTCAGAAGACATGTTTGGGCTCTCCCCTGGGTAAGACACCAGACATCCATCTGAGGTCCAAGTCCATCCTGACTTCTCCGGCACCTCCAACAGATGAAGATCCTCTCTGGCTCTCCAGCCCAGGAATAATTCCAGACACCGGCTGAGTCCACATCTGACCACCTGTAGAGTTCAGGCCCGGTCAGACAGCTCACACATCACGCACCCTCCTCCAGAAAGTAGGCCGGGGGGGGGGGGGGGGGG